CTGAAATCAACACTGAAAGACCTATTTATGTGCCTGTCTCCAAAGTACAGAAAAAAACTACTTTTTGAACCACAGCTTGTGGGACATTATCACACCAGTCTCATGTCCTGCAGCAATTGTATTATGAAAGGAAACAGGGACATGTTGCTTTGAAAATATTTCTCATCACACGTCTCTTCTTTTGCAAGACTGCACTGCATTGAAACCACCACCCCAGGTGTGGAAAGCCCCTTCACTTCATTACAGCAGTCAGTGTCATGAGGTAGGGTTGCCATATTCCTGTCTCTCACATCCAAGCATCTAATTTGCATATTATGCAAATTATTATAATTATGCATGTTTTTAATTTGCATTCTGATTATGCAAATTCAATTAATCGTTGCAGTTTTTCTATCATTACATTTCAGCCTCAGTGCCAGTACCAAGCTAAGGGCTCTTTCTTATTTTTCCCCCAAACTGGCGTGAAGAGAGGGAAGTTTCCAAGCAGATCCAGAGAGTAAAGGACTCCGTTTATTCTCTTGACAGTGTTTGGAAGTAACAGCCCACCATGCTGCCTAGCCCTAGGTTAAATATGCTGAAACAATCATCACAACACAAGGCCATCTCTGCTTGCCTCCTTTCCTTTCCCACCTTCTGGCCCATTTGGGGGAAGACTGGAGGGAATGGAAGAATAAGGTGCCAATGTTCCGCCTGTGCAGTAGCAACTGGAGCCTGCAGGTAGGGATAAGGCTCCTGCCAGTGCCAGCCTACTTGCACAGTTTCCTGCTTCATTGCTAGTGCCACATTTTAACTAACCCATCAGCCTGCAAGAAAGTAGAAATCTGGGATTTACTGTTTCAACTGGCCTAGCCAGACAGGACATTTTTTGGTCCCGTCAATCTGGGATTTTTAGGTTTTCTGGGAGAAATGGCAACCCTGCCATAAGGGGACCTGATTCTCCCCCTCTTACTCGCTATCCCAAAGTCTGTAGTTTTTGTTCCATAAACAAACTTTTCTAAGTTCGGCCTGACTGTAAGACCAAGTAGGCTAGTGAAGCAGATAGCACCTTCTCGGTGATGGCATCCTGCTTGTGGAATTAATGTCCTCCAGGTCCCATCATTCTAAGCCTTCAGGTAGTGGTGGAAATCATATAAATGTCTGTGCCTCACATCCTTTTGACCAGTAAAAGGCCATGACAATATGCTCTAGGCCAGGGGTAGGCAACCTAAGGCCCGGGGGCCGGATGCGGCCCCAGAAGCCTTTGGACTGGCCCCAGGCCAGGCCTGCCGCTGCCCACCATGATGATATTGATTATTGTTGTTATTGCTTGTTCTTGGGGTTTTCTTGGCAAAATCTCCACAGGGGTTTTGCCATGGCTTTTCTGGGGCTGAGAGAGTGTGCATGCATATTTTTTTTAAAAAAAAATTAAAATGTTTTATTTTTATTTTTATTTTTTTTTATTTTTGGTGCTTCGGCCCCCCAATTGTCTGAGGGACATCAACTTGGCCCCCGGCTCAAAAAGGTTGCCTACCCCTGCTCTAGGCACTTGGGAGCTACTGAGCAGGAGAAGTGGGGAATGTTGCACAAAGAGATACTGAATACCTCCTTCTATAACATTCACAAAATTACACACCAGCACTTAAACCCAGGTTTTGCATGTGTATGTCACCAACAGATTTCTACCTAGTGCTTCTAACCATAAATTTTTAGCAAGCAAATGAAAAAAAAAAAGTCACTGAAAAGTTGCTGTCAATTCAATGGAAGTGGCTGTAGTTCACCAGAATCACCATGTTTACTGGAAGTAAGCCCTACTGGGCCTCATTAGAATTTATTTCTGAGTAAACAGGATTCTCATTGCACATTCTGACCAGCAGCACAGCATTCAAGTATGAATGGGAAAGAACCAGTATTCAGATGTTACTGGGCTGTGCCATTCTCTGTTTAGGAGCACACAGATGTATATGCTTTCTAGATACATAATTTAGATATAGAAAAGCTTTGTAGTACAAACACAGCTCATGATCTGATTAGGTGGATCCCTTACCCTGAGATAATCTCAAGGGGTGATGTCCCACAACTCCAAATTGCCAATTGCAAATTATCGCATGACACTCTTAAAACAAGGCTAATCCATTTTTAGTACTCCAGCTGCCTCTTGTTGCATTTGGGGGTTTGTAGTTCAGTGAGGCCTAAGAGCTCTCTGGCAAGCCTAAGGTGTGATAAATGGGGGTCCCGCCATTTATTGGGGCCTTCTCCCCTGTGGGAGGGGGTAATGTAATATGAGGACTGATGACATCACTGATGGTGTGAGGGCAGCCAGCCAATCAGATGGCTCTGACAAAAGAACCTTCTGGATAGTTGCTGGAGGGAGATTGTTAAGGCAGTTGAGAATAAGAAGATCTGAGAGAGAGCAAGGCCTTGGCCCATGGGCTTGTTCTTCCCTTTACAGACTGCCAGAAATAGTGCAAACTGAGGCCACTTTAACTGCCCTGGCTCAGTGCTAGGGAATCATGGGAACTGTAATTTATTGTGGCGCCAGAGCTTTCTGACAGAGAAGGCTCAATGTCTCAGAAAAAACTACAATTCCCATGACTCCCTAGCACTGAGCCAGGACAGTTAAAGTGGCCTCAAGATGCATTATTTCTGGCAGTCTGTTAGGTTTGGGGCCTGTTTAGCTGAAATGATTGTTAGTTTATAACTTACCTTTTAAGTTTGTGCTTGGAGACAATAAACCTTTTTCTGCAGTACTCTGCCTCTTTCTTTATTCCTTTTAATGGCCTTAGCTCAGCTAGTGTTTGTTCTGATTTTTTAATTTTTGGTTATCGGTAGAAGGCCCAAGCAATGTCCCAATGTATTGCTGGGATGTGATAAGTTAATTATTGGGTGGATTTCTTGGGAGTAAGTTGTTTATTATTATTATTATTATTATTATTATTATTATTATTATTATTATTAAGGTGTTCTCAAGCTCAATGGAGTGGAGTGGGCCTACAGAGAACCTTCACATAAGGTGGCTTATCGTGATGCTTTCCCAGCAATATTTGTTCAGAGTTGGTTTGCTTTTGCCTTCCTCTGAGTCTGAGATAGTGTCACTTGCCCAAGGTCACCCAGTGGGTTTCCATGGCTGAGGAGGGATTTGAACCCTGGTTTCTAGAACTGTAGACCAGCGCTCAAACCACTACACCATACTGGCTCTCAATTGTAGGGGTGGCCTACTGCAGATCCGAGTGTGTGTAATCTGAATTCCTCAACCATCCTAAAAGTTAGCTCTTGGGTTAGAAAATCTAAACCCCTTGCTCAGTGGCAACACTAGCTAGGGTGTCACCTGGTGTGGAGGATGTCACCCAGGAGGGACACACATTTGTCCCTCCTGCTGCCCTGTTTTGGGGCTTCCTCCCCAGGGAGAAAACCCAGTGATGAGGCAACCAGGAAAGGCATGTGTCCACCCCTCCTGCACTGAAGGGGGAGGAGGGCCCAACTGGATGTCATCCTTCCTCTGAGGTGTCATCCGGTGCAGTTTATACTCCCCGCACCCCACAGTGACACCACTGCCTTTGACTGTTTGGGGGAATGTTTTACTTGTCACAGGCTTCCTACTCGATGAGCGGCTCTTAGCAAATGTAATTTAATTAGAAAAACTTTATAGGAATCTGTCAGTTATTTATTCCAAATGTTTATAGCCTCCTTTTCCATCCATCATGAGCCACAAAGTGGTCTGACAACAGTATGAAAACCACATGAGAAAAATAATTCTCATGTAAAAAAATAATAGTTCTCTGAATCCTAGCAGTGAAGGGACCAAAGTGTGTTGCAGAGTTGAGGTACCTGCAATGACAAGTCCCTGCTTTGCACAGCCACCTATCATTTCAGGTAGCAGAGGGACACCAAGAAAGACCACCAAGTAAATTATCAATGCACTCCTGCTAACTATTTGAATAACTATTTATTTATATAATTAATTGGTTTATATCCCACTTTGACCCCAACATGGAATTCAAACCTGCTCAGATTTTTTTAAAAGATGAAAAATAAAACCACAATAAGTTATAATATTATAGCTTATAATATTAAAAACAAAGTTAAACAATTTGTTAGTAGCCTATTTATCTGTTAGTGGAGTGAACAGTGCTTCAGAGTCCACATGTAACTGAAGTCAGCATGACCAACAGTTAGGAATGCTGGGAGCTGCAGTTCAAGAGCATCTGACAGGATGTGCTTTGGATATATCCACGTTGCAGAAATAAAGCAGTTTGATGCAACTTTAACTGTCTATGGAATCCTGGATTTGTAGCTTGGTGAAATATTCAGCCTGATCTGTCTGAGAGCTCTGGTGCTCCACCAAACTGCATCCCAGGATTTTATAGGATAATGTCATGACATGGTTATTCTGTAGGATAGAGTCATGGTGTCAACCTGCTTTAATTCTGCAGTGTGGATACCCCTCTAGCTTTCCTTGTTCCAGGAGTGCCTTGTCAACCTGGTCTGGGTTTAAAAGGAGATCTGCAACAAGCATTACAATAATCATATGAAAACCAATTGGAAAGGAATCTGAAAAGTACATCAGTAAAGGAAAAAGGGAAAGGACAGCAAAGATTTGCTGAAAGCTTTTTTCTCAGAAGCCAATCAGTTACCCAATAGCCCATCTAGATAGAAAGACGAAGGGCCTTTGCAGACTGCCAGAAATAGTGCAAATTGAGTCCACTTTAACTGCCCTGACTCCGTGCTAGTGAATCATGGGGACTATAGTTTATTGTGGCACCAGAGCTCTCTGACAGAGAAGGCTCAATGTCTCAGAAAAAAATACAACTCCCATGATTCCCTAGCACTGAGCCAGGGCAGTTAAAGTGGACTCAATTTGCACTATTTCTGGCAGTCTGCAAAGGCCCTCTAGTAGCAGCACAGCCTATTTCCATAGTTATAATCCTCATGATGCCCAACTCTCCCGGAGGCACCACAATGATGTAGCTATTGGGGCGGGGAGGGGGGATTGTTCTCCTCCCATAAGAATTCTTCTCCCAATGAATTTTTCCTTCACTCCTCCCAAATTTCCTGCATTGCAGTAATTTAAAACTTCAGTTGAGTCTTTAGAAATACAGTTTAGGCACACACACACACACAAAGGGTCAGGCAAAGTTAGCAAGAGAATGCAAACACAGTAAATAGAAGAGTTCTAGCTGTAGACAATTTTCAGTATCTTGCTCTCTGCACTGTGAGAAATTAGAAGAATGAAGTAAAATTCCATGGGGAGGGGATTCTTTTTAGAGGCAATGTTATCCTTTTGCCCCCTCCCCATAGCTATGCTCTGATGCATCTGCTTACACTTTGAGGAGTATCCAACATGTACTAAAATTGTGTAAGGTTCCCACATTCAACAGAACCACTTTGCTACACTCCTCTGCATACACACAGGCAGAGGAGACAAACGGACAGAGAGAGAGAGATCTGGTGCAATCCCTGAGAAAAACACAATGCAACATCACATCATATATCTTCCTTTCTTGACACCGATTCTTTTCTTATTGGTTTTCCAGTGCAACTTTTAAGCAAAGAAAGAAATTGAGCCTTTGAATCATGATACTGTCCTATTATACAATATAAAAGGAAACTATATTGAATGCCCCTAAAATGCATCATTTGTGCAATTTTTGATATTTTCCAAAGCAGGCATTGAACATAACTGTGGAAATGTCCTCATTTTACACTGAAATGGCTTCCCTGCCACCACCTCTACTCTGTGCAATCCAAAATGGATTTTTGTGACAGTCAAGGCACCCATCCTACCTTCCCTTTAAAACAGGGATGGAAATTGTATGGCCTTCTTGTATCTTCTTAGACTATAGTCCCCATCATTCCCCACCATTGGCTATCTGATGTCAGTAGATTGCATTGCTTGTAATTGCTCCATATTGTTATGATAACTTTATTTGGTTGTAAATAAACCTGAGTATGTATTTTATAGTCTATGCATGGAGAACATGAGACCCTTCAAGCATTTTTAGAGTAAGTTCTCATGCTCTCTCATCGGTGGCTATGCTGCTCAGAGTTAGGGATGTAAATACCAAACTATTTTGTCCTTGCATGCAAAGATGGATAATTAAAGTATTTTTCTCCAGGCTGTGCAAGAAAACAAATATTCCTCTATAGTATTCACCCTATATTCAAACTTTCCAAAGAACTGTGCAGGAATTATTCTGCAGAGAAGCACATGTTTTTGTACAGTTTCTTACACTGGAAACATTGTTTTTTTCTGTGCAAGAAAATCCATTCTCTGCACAGAAGACAGGTTTTTCTATAAAAACAACAACAACAACAACAACAACAACACATTTTTCTCCACAAAATAATTCAATTTGGAACAGGAGATAATTGCACAAAATTCTCACCGTTGGTATTTATTCTTCCCAGTGGAGCTTCCCAACTGTTGGGAAACCTGTTTTTCAACCTGGGAAGATATATTTGCAAACATTGTTGCCATCTATATAGAGAGCTGAGCCACAGTCTGTGCAGATATTCTGGAGGGCCACACATTCCCCACACCTGCCTTCATCAACAGCGGCATATAATTTGCACAAACTTCTTTCAAGATCCCAGGACTAGAACCAGGCAACTTTGAGATCTGTATTGTACTATCCCCTAGGATGGAGCACCAACCCAGGCCACACACATTGAATGTTTACCATGGTTACAACTTCTTTAAAGATCTCACCTACCAGTGGTATATCTACATTATAGAAATGATGCAGTTTGACACCACTTTAAGTGCTTTAGCTCCATCCTATGGAATCCTGGAATTTGTAGTTTCACAAGGTCTTTAGCCTTCGCTGTCAAAGAGTGCTGGTGTCTCACAAAACTGCAAATCCCAGGATTCTGTAGGATGGAGCCATGGCGATTAAAATGATGTCAAACTTCAGAGTAGATGCAGTATTTCTACAGAGTAGATGCACTCTAAGTCAGCTGACCACCTGGGTTGACCATACAGCAGAATAAAACAAAATCTACAAAAGAGCAGTACAGTAGGCCCTTAGTATCTGCTGAAGTTTGACTCCAGGACCTCCTGTCAATACAAATATCTGTGGATGCTCATTACATTAAATATAATGACATAGTAAAATGGTGTTCCTTATATAAGAAAACAAAATCAAGGTTTGCTTTTTGGAATTTATGATTTTTTAAAATATTTTCAAGCTGTATATGGTTGACTGTGGATAAAGAATCCATGGATATAGAGGGCCAACTGTACCTTTATTGGCCAACCAAAATCCACAAGCTTTCGAAGCTCCACTGAAAACACCATCATGCAGTCGACTTGATGGCAGTTAGCAACAACTATAGCAGACACGATATTTGATGCAAAATATAGGCTTGCGACTCTAACACTGTTACTTGTCTTCTCCTGTATGATTTTTAAAATATCTTTTGCTTGCTATAGAAGCCAGTGGAACTTTGAAAGCTTGTATGATATGCTTTGTGCATTTTGGTAGGCCAATAAAGGTATTGCTCGTTTGTAGATTTTCTGGGGGGGGAGAGAAAAAAGATGTGGAGGAGTGAAAAAAGACAGGGAGGAGAGTGTCGAATGGAAATATCAACATCTCTTCCCAGGCACCCAATAATATTCCATGAATGCAAAAGGGCAACTGCATCAGAAAAACCTTAACTGGATGTATATTCTTCCATCACATAGGAATTCATTATACATGTGGAAGAAGAATAAAATTGATGGTGATGGTGACCAAAAAGGGGGGGGTCACTTCCCCTTTTCTTCACACACACACATATACTAGAGAACAATTATGCTGTCCCATGGGACTGAGTAGACAAGATCTGTTTCCACCATCCTAATCCACGGTGATTCCTTATCATCTCCTGGTATAAAGGTCTACATTTCTATAGATCTGTCAAAAACACTTGAATAAATGAATGTCTGAGAGGCATGTTCTCAAGTGCCCAAGAGTCATTAACTGCATTGCAAAACCCTCATGAGAATTTTCCAGCTCAAAATCTCCTTGTTCACCCTTAGCATAATGATGATGATGTAAAAAAACTAATTATATTTTATTTGCCCATCAAAAAAAAATATGACTTGCCCTGGGCGAGCAAGCAAGAGCAGCAACAGCAACTTATCAGGCTTTGTTGCAAAAAAAGTTGTACAGGATGCAAGCTTGGGCATAAAAACCATTTGACAGTTTTATCTCT